GGCGGGGGGGCAGGCGGAACACTGGTGCCCCTTCCCCACCCCCAGAAGTGCTGCCAGCACTGCCGGACTCAGCGTCTGGCCATGGGGGCCCTGCCACTGCAGGTGGCTGCAGACAGTCCCCATTTGGCCTGCCTTCACTGCCGACATTGGCATGGCCACCTGTGGGCAGTCCCCGCTCTCCGCTGCCACACCCCACCGCCAACACTGCCACTGCCTGCGGGCAGTCGCCATGCCCCCCCCCAGCCTTGGGAGGCATGTGTCACCTATGTATACATGAGAAGTATTCCTAGATACCCATCAATAGCATAATCTCTTCATTTCTCATTGTCACTGCTACTCTTTTTTTAGCAATGGGTGCTGTTGGGTGTATTTTGGAGTTTAGCATAAGAAGTATGCTCAGATCATGCAGTTTAGGAAATATTATTGTATGCCTGTACTCTGTGGGTTGTGAACTCAGTCGTGCGCCAAACAAATAAGCTCTGCACACAGTAACTCTTGAATTGAGGCAGTGAGGATGTTCTAAAAGCATCTCTGACACTTCTCAGTACTTAAGCTTTTGGTCCATTTAACAGTGGCAACTTGGGCTCCCCCCCACTTTTTTAAAGGGTTGATATGTAGGGGAAGGATCAGATGGCTTCTTGCCTTAGTGGTGTGACTGAGCTCGATGCTGCCGCAGTGTGGATATACGCATTTTCACCAAATGAGACCAGGAAGATTCTTCTCCAATATTGCTCAAAACTTTCTTAAATTTTGTGAGGCTCTGACTTTAAGTTTGGGACCTAGGCATTTGTTAACCCAGTATCATTCCCTGTAAACGTATAAAACTGGGTTTATGTGCTCTTGAAATCTGACATAAGCAATTAATAGGTTTTTCCACTTAAAATTAAACTTCTCATAATCAGGGACCTGTTCTTTCCCCTCTTTATTTTTTTAAACCCCCAAATACCCTTGTACATTATCAGAGTCAATCAGCCAGAGTCAATCAGCAAATAATACAGCATTCTCTACAATCTTTCTTTTCAAGATTAAGAACAAAGGCAGCTTTTTGTATGCATCATTATTTACTGTGTAGTCATTCAGTTGCAATTTATATAAATATCTATAGGTTTTACACAGCTAAGCTTGTCAATCCATGCATTTTTTTACTTAATTTCATATAATGGCATAAAAGGCATGTTTTGAGTAATTCATACTTCAGATATTGACTAAATGTGGATACATTCTTTTTCTTGGTATCAAAAGGCATTGCCGTATTTATAGATTTCATAGACATTAGGGCTGGAAGGGATCTTGTAAGATCATCAGGTCCAGCCCCCTGCCCAAAGGGCAGGAAGTCAGCTAGGGTCAAAGGATCCCAGCAAGATAAGCATCCAAATATTTCTTAAAAGTGTCCAGAGTAGGTGTTTGATTATATTTACTTGAATATAAGATGACTGTGAATATAAGATGATGACTCTCCATAATTAGATTCTATAATGAAAATTTTATAAATGTTGTTATAATTTTCCAGGTGTAGAATCTAATTATTGGAGGGTTGTCTTGACTTCCTCCCTTTCCCTTTGCTATAGCAGGAAAAATAGTGGCTAGGAGTGGGGTCAGGCAGCCCCTTGCCCTCTGCCCTCCCCTGCCCCCACTTCTTCCTCCTGCCGGCTCCCTGCCCCCCCCTTACTGTTTGACCCTGCTCAGGCTTGATTCCCTCCCTGAGCACAACTTGGAACCTGTATGTGACAGTAAGGGAGGAAAGGGACAGAGAGGAGGGCAAGCAGAGGGGAACAGGAGACTGCTGTGACTTTGGCCCTGATCCAGACTCAGTGCCAGAGTCAGAACTGCAGCAGTTGGATTCTATTCTGCCCTGGCCCCCTTTGTTAATTTGAAATGCAAGGGACCAAAAAACACTGAGTTTGCAATAAACATACCCATAGTAACTTGCATATATGCAAATTACTATGAATAAGCTTATGTATTTCAACTTGTTGCAAACTGTTGCCAGTTTCAGTACAGGTACTCCATAAACATTTTGAAGCAGCACTTCTGTACCTACTTATACCTAGTACCAACTGTGCATGATATTAGTCCAGAGCCAAAAGGCTCATGACTTACCATATAGTTCATTGAGCTGTCTGGGCCCCAGCAGAGTCAACAGCATTTCAAGCCATGATGACCCCACAGCCAAGTGCTGCTCAGTATGTGTATGTACTCAAGATACCCCTCCCACCTCCCCACAAAGGATCCATGTGCTAATTAGCCCCCACTGTGACTGGAACCAGATCATCTCGTCACAAGTCCTGGGATGCTCCAAAAGTTTAGGCTGCCTGCAGACATTTAAAAAAAAAAAAAAGTACTTTAGTTTAAACTTGGCTTGTTCCCATGTCAAGCCCCGTACTAGGGCTGCGCAAAATTTAACCAGGTGTTTGTTTTGATGCTGTTTCAACTCATTTTGAGCTCAAAACAACAAAATCAAAATGAAATGAAAGACTTTGAAACAGCCTCGAAACAAAATGAGGGCACTTGAAACATTTTGAAGCTGGGCTTGCTTGCAGAGAAACAGAAACTAAGGAGAGGGAGGGGGAAGGGGGAGGAAGGACCACTTTGATATTGACATGTGTAGCTGGCCAGTGACTGTGATCCTTCCCTAAGGTCCCTTCCAATCCCAGTGCTCTGGGGGAGGGGCGGAAAAATGGCATAAAAAGCAGCATTGTTCGAACTGAGCTTTCTCTGTGCCTTGGGGTCAGTTACTGAGCTGCGTCTTTCAGCAGCGTCAGAGAAAGGCTATCCCTTCCTACTTGCTAGCCTGTTACTACCAAGTAGGATTCAATACCTTTTGCTTTCTATACCTTTTTATTATTATATTCATTCATTTCTTTCAATTTATTCCTCCCCCAAAATCCTTTTTTTGTTTTTATTAGTCTATTTTGAGTCTTTGCCCCCAGAAAAGAAATCTGTGCTTTCTCTCCCAGTGTGCATTCCATTCACTATGCAGAGAAGCACAGTATATATTGCATACTATAATACAGAATTTATTCAGGGAGACATGCATACATTTACGTATTTTATTTATTACATAAATACATGCATACATTACATAAATACATACATACAATTATCTACATATATTACATAAATACAGGTTATCTTACAGAAGAACACACAGATTTTCCAGCACACCAAACACACTATGAAGCATGCTGGAAAGGCAGCTGGCAAGCATTCAGGGAGGGGCAGAAGAGGGGGTAGAGGGAGAGCTGTAAATTCCCTGCCCCATCCCCCCACTCCCCAAAATGAGATGCAGACTCTTTCCTACAACTAACAGGCATGAGGCTTCCAGTTCTACTGACAGCAAGGAGAGGGCAGCAGTGCCACTGTCTGAGTCTGCATCCCCTCCTAGAGCACCACCCATACCCCCCGCACCACCACAACCATGACAACAAGCAGCACCAGCATGACAGTCTCATCCACCCCAATTTCACTTCCCATTCTGAGCCTTCCCATGCCAGAGGAAGAGCTGGAGCTGGATCTGAGTGCTATAGCACGGGAAATTCTGGGGAAGGAGGGGGAATCATCGGAGTTTGTGCTCCACACCCCTCAAGATTCCCTTAGAGCTAGGTCTCCTTCCCCAGAAGGCACTATGGAGGAGGCTGAGGTAGAGGTTGTGGAGGCAAGTGGCTCAGCTGAGTCTCCTTCTCCTGTTGCTGTGCCTCTGCCTGCTGAGGAGGGGGAAAAGGCAGCATCCGCACATGCACCTGCACCCCAGAAGTGAGCAGGTAGTGTGTTCTGGGATCATTTTGATCTGGCAAATGATCCCAGGTAT